CTATTCTATCCCCACCTCTCTAGGGAAGGAGTATTTCATATTCACTGTCCTGCAATTGCCATATATACTTTATCGAGAGTTAATTACTTCAATTCATGTTAACTTAAAATTAAAAATTTTTTATTTAATATAGATATCAACCCTAGTAAACTTTTTTTTGCACATAAATTAAGTCTGAAACTGGAAGTTTGAAAGCAAAATCAGGCAGTAATAAAAAATTGAGCGTTCCTCCTGCAAAGTGTGAAAGGTGCGTTCGGTTATAGAGGGAGAAAGTATAATGAAAATTCGTAAATTTTAGGATTAAGTTTTGTTATTGTTAAGATGTGAACATAATTATATTTAGAATTATTGTAAATATTTTATACTTTAGAATATTCTTTTTGTATACTTTATACCTTAAAAAGTATACAAAGAGAATATTCTCTTTGTAAACACCTATATATAAGTCATTGTACATACAGTATAATTCAAGAAAGCAATAAACCTTTCTTCAGATATTTCTCCTTCTTTTCAGTTTCTAACATGGTATCAGAGTTATAAGCTCTTGGTTCTTTTCTCTTATCATCGCTGTTGGGTTTTTTGGAGTTGGATTTTCAATTCCATTCCAGATCTGAAACTTTGTCATTGGGATCTCTTCTCATACAGATTGGATTGTTTATCCTCGATTCTCAGACCCTTTCTGAGGTATTTTGTTGGTTTGTTATTTCGATCCTAGCATCTATTTCTCCATATTTTTAGAGTTTTTCAGTATTGTGAGTTTACTGATTCTATGACGAGTTTTGAAAGGATTGTAACTCATCCTGCTACTGCTACAGTTGCCAAAGAAGTGATAGAACAACCTAATGTCAACCTTGAATCCCTAAAACATGTGATATTAAATCTTGTTAATGCTCCTACTGCCTTATCTATTGCTCCGGGTACCAAACCTTAGTATTTCAATTCTGGTTGTTGTAACCATATGTCTTCAATTACTGCTCATTTCTCTTCAATGTCACCTAATAATTCATTTCCTGATATTTATTCTGCTAATGGTTCCCCTATGAATGTTAGTTACATTGGTAATGTTTCTACAAAGTCATTGACTTTACCAAATGCCCTTTTAGTTCCAAAACTTAGTTATAATCTTCTATCTGTCAGTCAATTATGCGATCTTGGTCTTGAAGTAACATTTTCTGCTCATGGTTGTCGTGTGCAGGACCCACGGACATGACAACTTCTTGGAACTAGTCGCAAGGTGGGGCGTTTGTTTGAGCTCAACTATCTACATATTCTTGATAATAAAATGGATACACCATCATTTCCAAATGATCGATTCACCCAAACCCTGCTTCGTGCTATTGAATTAGAGTCTTTGCAAATTCCATATCAACAAATCTTCCAAGTCTGTGCTGCTACTAACATTTCTCCTCTCCATTTGTGGCACTCACGACTCGGACATACCTCTGTCGGTAAACTTTGTCCACTTATCTCTCGTGGTTTATTAGGATCAGTTCCGAATGAATCTGTGCATTGTGTGTCATGTCAATCTGCAAAGCAACCAGCTTTATCTTTTTCGAGTAGTCATTCTCATTCTACTGCTCCTTTTGATCTTGTGCATTCTGATGTTTAGGGTCCATCTCCTACACCCACCATGGGGGATTCCAGGTACTTCGTGTTATTTATTGATGACCATACTCGTTTTACCTGGATATACCTTATGAAAAGTCGCTCTGAATTATCACAAATTTATATTGATTTTGCTACCATGGTCAAAACCCAGTTCTCTAAAATTATCAAAGTTTTGAGAACTGACAATGCTACTGAATATCTTGGTACTAAACTTCAATCTTTTTTGAAAAAACAGGATACACTGCCACAACAATCTTGTCCTTATACTTATGAACAAAATGGGCGAGCCGAACGCAAACACAGACACATCCTTGATTCTGTTCATGCTCTGCTCATTTCATCCTCTTTTCTAGAGCGATTTTGGGGTGAGGCTGCTCTTATAGCTGCTTATCTTATTAATCGCATTCCATCATCAGTCCTTAATAACCAGTCTCCATATGAGCGT